TATTATTATTATTATTATTATTATTATTATTATTATTATTATTATTACTACTACTACTACTACTACTACTACTACTACTACTATTATTATTATTAGACTCATTTGTGAGTCCAAATAAAGTTGTGCTAAATCTTCGAAGGGGCTAGGAATTTTTTGCATAAAGAGGAAGGAGGAAAAGGAGAGAAGGTACACAGTGAAATAATGTGGCATGTTCTCCAAAGCTTTCCTTACTTCAGGTGAAGTCTGCAAAGAGCAGCAGCCCAGTCTCACAACAGTTAAGCAACAAAAGCTTCTCCTATTACTTTACAAAAGTTACACTGACTTGGGACCGAGTCCCTATACCTTGAGCCAACTGAAGGACAGGATTTTATTTACATTGGTATTATTCTGGTGTTTATACTACCCGTGTGATTTTAAGGGAGAAATTTCTGAATTGGATACAACTGTGCATCTATGTATTAAACCCAATATTTGACATTGCAAAAAGGAAAAGAAAGAAACCCTTCTTTATTTTTCTGTCTCTTCTCTCCCTCTCTCTCTCTCTGTCTGTCTCTTTGTTCTCACAGGGTGAAACATCTCAGTTTTCTTGGGCAGCGCTCCATGGTAAATTCAGGTCTCTCCTCACAACAGAACCCAGGGAAGATTTGTGACAGATGAGGCGAAGTCACAAACTTGTGGCCGAAAGCAAAATGGGGACAACTTTCCACGGTGTGTGTCCATATTTACCTGATCAGAGCAAAAGAGGAAAAGAGGCAGAGGAAGCTCAGCCTGGCTGCTTGTCATAGCTGACACAGAGCCATCTGCCACAAACCTGTGGCGGCTTCAGAACTCCGATCCCTGCCACCACTCCAGCTCAAATTAAATGCAGATTCCCAGAGACGTTACGATGGTTACACATGTCCTCGGCATCACAGGCAGGAGACTGAAAAAATAAATGTGGCCTGTTGTATAACTATGCTCATGTATCCCATATGTGGTGCCACATTGAATTTCCGGTGGAATTTGTTTGTATCCTTTGTACTGGATGACACGGCGCCTGCGTGCTTTCCCTTGGCCGACGTGATGGCAGCCAAGACTGCAACTTCAAACGTTTGCTACTCGGCCAGCTTACTACCTAGAGTGCCAGGTCATCCTTGCAGCCTCGTTGTGTCCTCCAAGGGCCACAGGGTCTCGAAGGAGGACTGCTGCTCCCTCTCCAACCCACCCTCCCTGTCTAATTGGGCAGATCTCTAGGAATTATGGAGAGGCAGGGGTTGCTATTTTTGCACTTCTTCCCACCATCTCTTCCTCCTCTTCTAGCCTCCCCCCACCCACTTTCCTCCTTTTGCAAATTAATGACTCCATGGCACTGGGGCTTTTAAGGGAAGGTATTAATAAGGAGGTCTGGCAGGTGATCCCAGAGTTGCATTTGCATTTAATTAATCTTAAAGAAAGTGGCAAGATAAACAGCTGTAATTCAAACTAGCATGGGAAATATGCTATATGGTGCCATCTATCCAATGAAACGAAACGTTGGAGACTTGCTTTATTTCTCTCAAGGCCAGTGAATAGGCAGACGCCAGAATTGTTCCATGGGGTGTGGGGGGCAAAAGAGCTTTTCATTATGAATTGATCGCACTTCTAACAATGATACGGCAACTGCATTGGTTGATGTTAGATGCTCCCAAATTTCAGATGTGCTCTATCTTATTTTTTATTAAAAGTACCCCTTGAAGTGTTTGCTTAGCATATGCCATATGTTTATGAGTATGTTTCAGAAGGTCACAAAAGGTGATGACATGACCCCAGGACTGCAACCAACCTAAAAACAGGCCACTCACAAAGCATCCAAATTTTGATCACGTGACCACGGGAAATGCTGCAACAGTCATAAGTCTGAAAAATGGTTCTAAGTCACTTCAGTGCCATTAAAACGGTTATGAATCAAATGGTTCCAGGTTGAGGACAACCTGTACTTCATTTCTACCTTAAACCTCCACTATTGACCCGCATTTAGCCCTGTGGCTAAATACAAAAGTTACAGGCAGCAGATGCACTAAAGTTGAAGTAGGATTATCCATCTTGTTAGAGCTGTTGTACCAAATCAGGTACCTTATATTTGCCTCTTTTTCAGTCTTTATTTTTTAATTTCCAAGTACCTGTGCCTTCTCCAATGACTCATATCTTTTTTATATTATGTGTCCTAAATATTTAAGCTTTAACATCATGAGTGTTGTTTTTTCACCTTTGGCGAGATTCCATCTCCCCATCAATGTAGTGTCAGAGGTTGTTCAGGTTTTTCCTGGCACTATTACTTTTTATTTCTATTTCTTCATCTAGCATTTTTCATAACACATTCTGCTTAAACTAAATAAATAAGGAGATAGCATCGACTCTTGGTGTGTTCCTTCAAATTAAATATGACGAAATTCTCCTGCTTTCTTCATTTTTTCTGTTGGAATTGAGCAATGTGATCTGATCTGAGTCCAAAGTTGAACTGGGAATCGATGAAGGTAGGAAAATAAATCTGTGTAATATGAGCAATTTTCTAGCCATCTTGAATACCAGCTCAGAGTTTTATCTACAGTAATTTTCAAAGGCAGCATGCTGCATGTAGCAAGCTCCAGTCCAATGGAATGGGACAACTCGCCGCAGCCAACCCAATGAAAACAATATGGAAGAAACAATGGTGGAGACCATTTATCGTGTTGAGTTGTCCCATGTGGAATTCTCTGTGATGAGTTGTCCTGCAGCAAGTTGGCTGCAGTAAGATGGCCATGACAAGATGACCGACGAGTTGCCCTAGACCCCCAGTCCAAACAGATTTGGCAAAGCATGGAACACTGAAAGAGAGACGCCACTACTGAGATAACTAACTAAAGAGGGCATTCTGCTTTGGATTCATGTGTTTCTATTAAAAAAAGCACCCCAAAATGCTAATGGCACACACTTTTTGTAAGAATATATAGTTATTTCCAGCATTCCAGTGAATTGTGCGCCAGTTACTCCCTTTCCTGGGCCAACAATCCCTACACACAGTCACTCATGCCCTAGTCACTTCCCATCCTGACTGTTGCAACGCGCTCTACATGGGGCTGCCCTCAAAGTGCATCTGGAAGCTCCAGTTGTTGCAAAATGCAGCACCCCGTATGGTTTTGTGCAGACCCCGGTATGCACATGTATCTCACCTCTCCTGCGGGAGCTGCATTGGTTGCTGATTTGCTTCTGGGTGCAATTCAAGGTGCTGGTTGTCATCTTTAAAGCCCTTCATGACTTAGGACCAGGTTATCTGAGGGAATGTCTCTTGCCGGTCACATCTACTCAACCCTTCAGAGCGGGGAAGTAGGGAATGTTGTGGGTTTCATCCCCAAGGGAGATAGACCAGAAGAAGGGCCTTCATAGTGGCTCCCTCTCTCTGGAACATCATTCTCCCAGATATTAGAATGGCCCCCACTCTTAATACTCTTCCAGAAGGCGCTGAAGACCTGGTTCTGTCAGCAGGCCTGGGGAACCCAGAACGGGATGGAGCCCATTAAACGGCTCGTGTGATCTGCTGTCGCCGGGGTGGGGATGGGTGATTTTATTATATTATACTATATTAATTTAGTTGATTCTTTTTATTAGTTGTATTGTTTTAAAGATGGTTTTATATTCTGTAAGTTGCCTTGAGTTGCCATGGGCGAATAGGTGGCAATATAAATTCAATAAATAAATAAATAAATTAGTCTTCACTGACGCTTCTGCAGATATTCATAGCTACCACTAATATTTTCAAAGTCACAATCTATTCTGTGCTTCCATTATAATTCAGTGCTGTAATTATGCCAGCTCTAAATATTTTCTCCTGTAGCTAAACTCAGATACTGCCACTTTCCTTTGAACACAGCTGCTTTTAAAAATCTTGCTACATATTTCTGATTTTTAAAGCCGAAAGTATGCTAATATTTTTTTTCCATAGTGGGTGGCCATGTGTTTTGTTGCTCTTCCACTTATTTTCTCTCACTGATGAGTGCTAGAGTCTAAGGGTTGGAAATTTTTCAGGTGTAGTAAAATTTGTTCATTAATTTATTATTAGCACCATTTCTAGTTCCAATCTCTTTACTTTCATGAACTTTGCTTTTCCCCTTTTCCAAAACAACAATAAAGTGATTGTCCCTTAGTGTAATCCTTAATTTTTGAACGTCCAATCAGGCTTAACCCCTCCACCCAAAGCAGTGTGGGGTGGAACAATACTGCAAAATAACAGCTGGAAAATGGCAAACCTGTGACAGATTAAATTCGTTTTGCTAAAATATTTTAAATGTTTCAACATGGTAATCCAGACATTATCGTGAAATGAATTTTTTGCCTCTTGAGTTATGAACCTTTGCAAATAAGGTTTTATAATAGGAAAACTGTCAGTGCCTTAATTATACGATAATAAATAGCAATGCTGTATTAACTTCTGGGTTTTTTTTTTTCAAAAATGTGCCTAGCTATTGTTAGAAACTGATAATCACATGCTACAGAACGTCTTGCATTTACAATGCACCTTTTCTTCATGTGGATCTTGGAGAGATTCATGAGAAGATAGTTGAAGGTAACAGCATTGAAGGTGCCATTGAATCCCTAAACAAACTAGTTTTGCACTTTACTATGAAGAGAAAAATCAGTTCTACTTGAAGTGTGAGTCAAAGGGGGAAAAAACGAAACCTCAAGTCTCTGATCTGCATTTGAAAGGTAACCAAACTGAAGAATTGGTTGATTTAAGGAGTGGAGATAACGGAAGCAGAAATGTCACCTCAAAGCATTTATAAAATGGCAGCAGAATTTGAGTGAAGAGAATTGAACTCTGCTTACAAATTTTTGGCTTGCAGCAAGGCTGTGAAGAATGAGCAGCTGTCCAATCCAACAGTTTGTAAGCGAGGTTGGTGGATTAAAAATCAAACTAGGTTAAACAGGGCCAGGGGGCTCCAAATTGATTTAATGTAAGCAAAAATTGGGGGGTGGAAATTGAAAAAGTTCTGGTGCCTGAACATTTACATTTGACCATAGCAGCTCTCTTAATTATTTTTTTTTTTAAAGCAAGCCCCGCTGAATCTGAAGAAACTTCTGGGGTTTCACATGACAAGCAGTAACCAATTTTGAAGGAGGAGGAATCAAAATGTCCTCTATGAACACATTAACTCTTAAAAGTTTACTCTACCTTTCTTCTGCAGAGTATCTCAGGATCCCTTGTACTTTCTGAGATAGGCATCATTGAGTCTCCAATATATTTCCAGATGTTATGTGTACCTGAAAGTGCCATTCATCAACCCCAATATTTTTTTTCATGGTGCATGTTCCTGAATGAGCAAATACCAAGAACAAATTAAGCTAAAGTAGTTGTAGATAAGGTACCTTGTTTAGGAAGAGGACGTTTACACATAATTTCCTTAAAACTGCATGGAAACTAAATAATACAGGGGGTTCAAACTGGCGGCCCACAGGCCGAATTTGTCATGTGCCAGACACACCTACGCCAATTCCGCAAAGGGGAAAAAATTCACAATATGTCACGTGGTGGCAATGTGACACCGTGAGTTTGATACCTGTGAAATAATAGGGCATACAGGTATTTGCAATGACAGTACTTAGGGTTTCATTTAGCTTTACAGGAGCCAAGTGTCTGCTGTTGCATATAATGTAACAGTGTTGTGTAAGAGGAGGTCACATTACTTGCCACTTTAGCCTATAAGTTATTTTTTCTGCTTTTCTCTGTTTTTGAATACTGTATATAAATGTCCTGTATTTTCTGGTTGTATTCTAATAAGGAGATCATAAGTCTTTATGGTCATTATACTATTGCTATGACAACAAATCTAACGATGGCCTAAGACTTTTGCACAGTATTGTATGTCCAGGGATGGTGCAGTTTCAACCATCCTACAATACTGTAAAGGTTTGGAACTCTTCTAGTTTAATCACATGATTCATTGATGGAGCTTTGGGATTTGCCTCTTAAAAGAGATCAAATATGAAAGTCTGAAGAGATTAGGCTACTGGCTCCAAGACCTCCCATTGCTCCGTAGTTATAAAGCACATGACACAACAAGTTTAGGCTAGAGATGGAAAGAAGGACAACAAGGGTAGTGGTGTTTGAGGCAGAAGTAGATGGGCCAGAAGTCAACATTTGGGTTATGGGGCTGTAAAGTTTTAATCTTGGAAAGTATCTACAGGCACATTTCTGGTGTTTATTTTAAAACGTGAATGGGTGAGTGTATACAATAAGTCTTGCAAAAATTGACACTAATGCACAAATAAATCTGATTTACCGTAGATCAACAGAAACAATTGCAGCTGTATTTCTGTAGTCATGATGATGCTGTGGATATTAGTTGACTACGAAATGTGACATTTTATATGCTGAGATTTTAAAAAATAAAAGTAAACATTTTAGTTTTTTTTTTTTTTCTCCAAGAGCTTAGGGCATGTCCTAGCACTGCATCCAGGACTGAAGAAAATAATCACCCAATGAGCTTCCATGGCTGAAAGGAGTCTTGAACCTGGCTACACCACATTCGAATCCCATAGTTTAGCCACTACACCCCAGTTGGGATCACTTGCTTGAAACAAAGCCTTTCGTTAATCTGGTCTTCAGCCAATTGAGACATTCTGGGATTTCTATTCCTAGAATGCCTCAGCCAACATGATTGTTGAGAATTCTGGGAATTCAAATCCAGACATCTGGAACATGACAAAAAGCAAGTGTAAAACCCGAGGTGATGGTTGAAGTTGTGTGCTTCACATGGTCTTGAGCAGTGGTGGGATTCAAAAAGTTTTACTGCTGGTTCTGTGGGGATGGCTTGTGGGCATGGCAGGGGAAGGATAATGCAAAATCTCTATTCCCACCCCACTCCTGGGGGAAGGTTACTGCAAATTCCCATTCCTTCCCCACCCCACTAACCTGCTTTCCAGCTCTGTTCTCCTGTGCAGGGCAACAAAAGAAGACCCAGCTGATCAGCTGGGACTCGGGAGGCAGAGAATAGATGGGGCCAGGGGCCAGTCAGAGGTGGTATTTGCTG